TTTAGAGGGAGTCTTTCTCTTTTTCGATGGCGATTCATCTCCACCTGCAGGTGTAGGCTCCATCTGTTGCAATGGGAAGAAGACCAGTTGCAATAAATCATTAATCACACATTGAAAAATGGATCTATCTGTCCACTGTATTTGAAAAGGACATTATTTGACATAATATCATTATATACTTAATTAGAGGGACTCTGGCATACAGGGCCAGCCCTAGACTTTTGGGGGACCACCTCAAATTAATGCTAATTCACTTCACATTAGGGGTGAGTCCGTGTACACGTGTTTGAGATCATAAACGGTTATGAAAAGTTAGTACACAAAAAACTTTTTTTTTAGGGGGGAGGGGGGTGATACTAATTATCAGTAGTAGTAGCTACTATCAGTAGCCTACATGCTCCGTTCTATTAAAATGGCGCATTCGTTAAGGGGGTCGTTCGCCAGTGGGCTACAATGAGTACCGGGCCATCAAATCACAGCATCTGCAGTGAGAGGACACGGAATTGTTTGCGCTTTTACGCACGCGTCGGTGGAGAAGTGGCACACATGAGTCGTGCTACAGACAGACAGATGGACGGACGAGCCATGTATCTCGGTGCCGCTTAAAAATAGCTAACACATCTGGCTACATCTTTCCCACATCAAATATCCGTGATCGCCTAAACTCACATGCGTAAAAGCGCACACAATTCCGTGTCCTCTCTCTACGGATGTTGTGATTTGATGGCCCAGTATTCATTGTAGCCCACTCTGATAAGACCCAATAATAATAATAATAAGTTACTGTGGACCTATATGCCATGCCTTTTAATAAAATTTCCAGAGGAGTTTGCTGAAAAACAGGTAATGTCAGCCTGAATTACTCGCATGCGTCCCCAGTGAAATCGCTGACATGCATGGGAAATACGGCTTCTACTGGCCGTAGACTTAGGGACCAGAATTCGGGATGGCGGACCCAGCGGTGAAACCCGTGTACACATTTATACGAAAAAAATTACCCACTCTAAAAATTTAGAAATTTTTGTACACAAACTCACCCCTACTTCACATGGCACCAAACCAACGTATGTATCTTGTTTAGTTTAAGCACTCATATTGTACAAATAAGCTTATAGAGAATAAAGTAAGGCCCTTTAGCAGCAACACTATCTTTAAATAGACGACAGTATTTTTCTGTTACCTCCTCACCTGTGTGCTGGGCCTTGAACATCTGCAAAAAAAGTCTGTAAAAGGTTTTCTTGATTATTGATAGCCTACTGACCAATTGATTTAAGAAGTAATATTATGACACTGAAAATAAAAGCCTTAAGCTATGATTGTATTGTCCGCAGTGGGTTTCTTTACCTTAGAGCACATGTTTTACTTTTTTTTTATGCCACTTTTCAAAGATTCTGGTCTGACATAAAAAAAATGGATATCACTGAAGATTAATGACATTCAAACATTTGATATCTTTTTATATAGATCATTTGAATTGATCCGTCTCTTACATAATAAATATAATCTTTCTCATGGGTAAAAACCATAATCATTGTGGCAGGTGGAGGAATGGTGCGCCCTCCTTTAACTGGTTTATAAATGATTTTAAGTTGTTTTCTTGGTCACTAAAAAAATGAAAAAAAAACAAAAAAAAAAACTAAGTGTCGACGTTTCTCAGTTCTTGTTTTGAATTATGATTCTTGATTTGTATCTTGATGTTTTTTGCTAAAATGTGTTAAATTTTGTATGTCTGGTGTTTTAATTTTTAACTTACCTTTTATAATTCTTATGTATGTATATATAACTCTGCCTCAGTCTATTTTATTTCGTTCATATATTTATTTTTCTCATTGTCATCAAGGTTGACAATTATTTTAATCTGTATCTTTATAGTAGGAACATCCTCTAAGAAATGTTATATGTTATGTTCAATAATTCCAATGTATGTATGTATTTTCTTCTCAGTATCTGTCAGTATGTCGTATCTTCTGAGCTCCCATTAACTCAACATGATTTTTTTGAATTGATTTAAGAGACTTTTCCTCAGGAAAGTTTATCTCACCTCTTGGGGTGTCGTCTGTTTAGGGCCCTTGATGATGTTCATTACTCTCTTGTTAGGTGTTAGCAGACTGGATTCTCCTTCCATTGGTGTTGCTTCTCACGTTGTCGTGTGATGTAAAGCTGCTGCAAACGTGAAATCAAACGTTAGACATTTGAATTACAGGTATTTTGTTTATCACAAAGGTTTGTTTGTGTCTCAGTAGCATCACAGGGTGCTAGTGTGTGCTAACATTGGTCTGTATAAAAACTGTCATCATGTTTTCTTGTATTTTTTCCTTAATCTTCACGGTCTGCTTAAGACAGATGTTAAAAGATGCTATTGTGACAAACTGACAAATGTTATGCTGCTTGCAGAATATATGTTACATAATATTCATGTCTAAGATAGCAAGTAAAACCATAAAACCACCACGATATCTTGTATAAATATATATTTTCCAGGTGTTAAAACACCTTCATGTTAATAATACAGCTAGATGTATAACATTAATGTTATCAGACGATCTTTATTCCCTTTAGTTCGTCAACTCAGCACAAACAGACTTATCTTACTAGCTAACATAAAGCTAACGTTAAATGTTTAGCTAACCTAACAGTTAAATGCTAATATTCACTTTGTTAGCTAACGTTCATTTACATTAGCAGTTAACGGCATACAGCCATGATTTTCGAGGCTTTTATGTGTAACTAACTTATTGTTAATTAATTGATTAATTGGCTAATTAATTAAAATTTAACAATTAAAGCTTGCGCTACTTACGAGCTCTGAGTGGAAGAGTCGGTTATTTCGCCGCTTACATGTACCGTCACACGGTCAGTTGAGAGCGGTGGTCTACACTGGACCAAACGGTCACGCTAACATTTAAAATAACGGTAGAGGGCACGCGCGCACGTTGGAATGGCAAATGCTGCATTCATGGCTGCTCGTAAATTGCGGTTGGCACTGTTATATCAACTATCAGGCGGGGATGCTCATGACTGACAAATGTGTTATGTCATTTTAAGAGACTCAGAATTCCCACAGTCATGAAGAGAAGGAAGAGCGATATTTTGCAGGTCTGGAAAGGTCAGTTTGGAGATGGTGAGTGAATATCGTGACTCTGCTGTTTTAACATTACTGTTGCTTCTTTTTTAGTCCTGCTCTGAATTTCTTCCTTTTTAAATAATCCATTGTAAAATTTACAACATTAGTTCTCTGAGAATCTCTTTAACATTCAGCAAAAATCAGTGTTGTAACTGAAAAAGCCCTAATCGAATCGATATAAAATCGAATTGGAAAATCTTATTGAATTGGCACCTTGTGAATCGAATTTTAATGGATTCAGGAAATCAGTGGCGATACCCAGCCTTAAAACCTAATAACCACAAAGTAAGGCTCACCTGTACATGCTAACAGTGAATGCTAACATGCAAAATGTTCAAGTGAGCATGCTAACAATCATATATGAACATGTACTGTAGTTCTTCACATGGTTTCATCATGTTGATTGCTGCTGCTACAAAATGAGTCACACAAGCTCAGTAAGTGATCTGAGAAATGATTTCCTTTAGTGAAAAGCTTCATTTATTCCATGCGTGAAGGAACGCATGGAATAAATATAACCAATATATATATATTGGTTACTGTATATTAACGGACACTCTGGCATTACTTCAACTATAAAATGAATTTATAAATGTTATATTCGTAGAGAATAAATTTGAATCAACACATCACAGTTTCACTTTTAATTCTTTTAACTAGTTGCACATTTTGTGGCAGAGCCCAAATATAAACGGACATCGTTGTTGAGAGAATACTAACAGAAAGTTCAGTATGCAGGAGTGTTTGTTTTTAAAGAGTGTTTATCAAACACAAAAATCTTTATATGTTGTCATTGTTACGGAAGCGTATTGCATTCACTTGACAAATAAAAAAAGCCCTGTTTTTCCGAGTACTTTTTTCTGTTTTTCAGAGTAATTTATTTATTATTCTGTTTTTTTTTGGTGTAATTTTCTTCTGTTTTTTGTGCTAATTTTTTTCTGGGTTTTTTGGTGTAATTTTTTCTGTTTTTTGTGCTAATTTTTTTCTGGTTTTCAGGGTATTTTTTTTCTGTTTTTTGTGCTAATTTTTTCTGGTTTTCGTGTTAATTTTTTTTTCCTGAAGGAGGAGACGAGATACTTCAAAATCTCGCGAGAAGCTCCCACCTGGCACCTGCAAGTGACCCCTGCATCCATGGTGACTCCTGCTCATGGATGTATTTTGCATCCGTGCTCCTGCTCCTAGACAGTTTCAACTACGGGATCAATAAGGGTAAGGCACATAATTAGTTACACACAGGGTATGATAATCTAGCTATGTTTTCCACTGCTTCCTTTTAGTGTGCCTATCGCTCAGTGTAACAGGTTAGGTTAGTAACAGGTTGTAACAGCATTAGCTGACAACTGAAATCATGCCCATACACGTTTGTCAGCTAAAACACAAAAAAAAAATACCCTGAAAAACAGGAAAAAAAAATCATGAAAAACAGGGAAAAAATTACTCAGAAAATCAGAAAATATTACTCAGAAAAACAAGTTTTTTTTTAATTTGTCAAGTGAATGCAATACAATTCCATACATTGTTGATAGTGAACACAAAAAGGAATTTAGGGAGTGTCTTCTTCTCCAACACTCACACACTCCCCAGATAATAATCAAAATGGAAATTTCAAGAAGAGAAATGTATTAAGTCCCATAACTAACGGAAGCTCAGAGAAAAGCTTTGTCACATTTCCATGACTGTTTCTAACGTCTATCTATTCAGTGTCATGTGTTTTAAATAGGATCTATGCAGTGTTAAGACCAAATCAGCTGGCCAGCAGAGGCTGCAAGTGCCACACTGAGTTACCTTAATAAAGTATAAAAAATTAAAATTAAATTTGCAGTTAGCGAGCAAATTAGTACAACAAGGAGGAAATGAACGCGCCATAAACTGGATGTTTAAGTCGTTTTTATTTATTCATAGTGTTTAAGCATTGTTTTACAGATGAACATTTTATTAAGTCATACAGCAGAAAATTCCATCAAAAATTAATCTGTTGATTTGAGGTCGAACAGAATACCCACAGTAGCAGTGTTCGTTATTTCCCCCCAGTTCAGCCCTTATCTTCACATGTATTTGTATTAAAACGTTTAAAACAATGGTTTAAAGTATAAAAAGAAAAAACGAACTTACAATACATCTTTTTAAAAGATATCTAATAAAGCACATCTTAAAAGCTGTAAATCTGAATTTTTTTAAATGTTCCTAAGATGTTCAAAATAACTGTACATTCACATCTGGGCAGTGACCTCTAAATCCACCTGTATGATGACAACAAACAACATTTAAAACAATATTTACATAGTTTATAACTTCTGCCATGACTTCTATCTCTGCATGTGAGGTCAGAGGTGTGTTCATGTTCACAAGTCTATGTCGTGGCGTTGAATGTCCCGTGGAAGCCGTAGGGTATGTTGACTGGCACTGCAGCCCTGCCCAGCTCCTCAAACGTTTTGGCATCTAAAACCAGGAGGAACGTGCTCCGGTCCTGAAGAGAATGAAGACACAAACAGTTTGTTTAAAGCTTTCCAGAGACAGACATCAGACGTTTCAATTAAAATTTTACATAAGACTTGATAAACAGGGTTCCCAAGGTCATGGAAAACCTGGAAAAGTCATGGAATCAATAAAAGTCATTAAAAGTTTTAATGGAATTTTGTTGTGTGTAATAAAACAACAAAACGTGGCTTTAATACGCATCAGTGTGTGACAACGTTCTGTTTACCATTGCATACGTTTCGTCATTCTCCCCCATTATCCATCTCTTCCTTCATGTATGCAAGCTAGCTGAAATTATGTTTGAACAGACCTGACATGTTTGAAAAACCCCAGGCCAGTGGGCCAGAAAAACAAATTGTGGGTCCTTGAAAAGTCATGGAAAACTTTTGATTCTTTATCCATGAAAATGTGCGGGAACCCTCTAACTGTACATTCAAACCAACAGCGACCAGAGCTTCCAAAACGGCGGAAGCCATTCATTTTCAATGAGAGCACGGCGACTTGGGTGACCTGGTCATCAGCCGCGCATCTTGGGCAACCAAAGTGACCGGGGCGGCTCCGGAGGGGAGTTAAAACTCGTTTTACACTATTGTAATGAGCTCTGACGCGATTTGGCGACAACCAATCAGAATGCTGACGTGCTTCAATGAAGTGGGTCCCAGAGAACAAGCCATGTAACTTTGGTTCCTACAGCACACTTGTTCCGACAATGGATAGGGAAGTTTATTACTTGTGTTCGCGCCCACTCACTCCTTTATAATGTGTCACTGTTCAGTTACAGAGATGAAAAGAATGAGGCTTGGGACGGCGTCACAGAGGTAGTTGGTTGGTCTGGTGAGTTCTAAAGTGTGTAATGTTCGTAATAGGAGAGAATGATAGGCTAATGTTGCGATGTAACATCCAAGTCTTACTTGCTTGGTTTCTGTTTTCATTGACCAAACATAACTTTCTGTAGGCCAACTGTGAGCTTTTTGACTGGACAACAACAAGCAGCAACTACGCTGCTTTCAAGCCAGTAGTCCGCTTTGCGACAAGCACGATCGAACGTACAGTAGCAAATTCATAAAGTGTATCTCTAAAGGTATTGTGACCTGTAGTCTACTATGAGTGTGTTTAAAACAAGACTTAAAGTTTAATATTACCATTACAAAATGAAAAACTGAGGCACGGTCCCTTTTCGAAAATCTTTAACTGACCTTATTGGGTGTGATGACCACAGACATGATGACACCATCATCCTCCTCTGTGGCGTTAGGGGAGGGTACGAAGACTGGTTCAGAGGGATAAAGACCAGGTTGTTCCCACACCTGTGAGAAAATGTAGGAGTTACTCTGGAGTCGCACAATTCAAGTTCTTACAATCATACTTTAACATTCTCTAGATATTAAGGACTGTTACTGATCATATAAATGTACTGCGATCACGTGCTACTACTTTTCACCTGAGAACGATTTTTGTTTGACTTGCAGTGAAGACTGGATGCTATTTTAGTAGCTACAATGTTGGAAACATCTTTGAGAGACAGACACCAAACGTACCTTCATGTGTTTCTCCTGGAGGTCCATCTTGATCAGTGTGTCTCCTACGAGATGTCTGAAGCCGCAGCCGTAGAAGTAGCGGTAGGGGTGGGTGTTGTATTTGGCATAGTTGATCTGAGGGAACTCCAAGCCTCCATATTGATGAAGATCCTCTCCGTGGAGGTCCTCGTGGGTACAGAAGACCTGGACAGAGAAAAACAGCAACATGGTTAATGACACACACTAATGACACATTTCCAAAATTAACTGTTGGAAAATTCAATTAAAGGTATCCATCCTCAACAAATAAGTCATTAAGATAAAATCAAAGGCTCAAGAAGAAAAGGTTTCTCGTCCGTTGGTATTTTGAGGTGTCCCCCCTGAAAAATTTGAGTTTCAGAGACTTTAGTTTGCTGCCCTCTGGTGGTTGTTAGAGGGAGTGCTCTGCTGTTGGGCTGAAACTGGACAGTCTCGAGTCAGAGAGCACGATGACGCACAAAATCAAAGCCATCGTGTAGGGTCAGGTGGTATGGCTTAAAATAATATCGTAGTATTTTTCGGTTGTATCCTGATATTTTGAAATCTTCTCTAAAGAACTGTAAACTGCTAAAATACAGAATTATAGAATAAACTACAGTTACAAAGTCAAATGAACTGTTTTAATATAGTTAAATAGAAATACTGTAATAACGCTAAAAATAACTGTTAGAATAAAGTTAAACAAATACTGTCAGAATAAAATCAAAAAATGCTATTACAATAAAGTAAAAATATACCGTTACAATCAAGTTAAACAAAGTACTGGGAAGTTAAATTAAGTGTTTTCATACTAAAGTTAATTCAAGAACTATTAGAACAAAGTTACTACGTCATTACTATGTGGCGTTTCAACCTGATGCCATCCGGCAGTGCATCATACCGCCGCGACAGGTGCCATTCGGCTGACTGGCGACATATCATAGTTATGTCTGGCTGCATTACAGACTGATCCTGCCCACTGGCAAGTCTCATGCCAGTGGCCTAAAAAACAACGACACGTCCATTTATACTTTATTTTCCCGATGCAGTGGCTTTATACATCCAACATGGAACAAGCCACAATACATTGAGGTTATGTGGTATCGCCCACCGTTACCATCTTGGATATATTTCCCTACAACGAGCTGTTGGAGATGCACGGCTCATCCAGGCACTGGATCATCTCACCCGGCTGCAAACCTATTTCTGTCTTTATACTGCTACTGCAACATCTGACTTTCAGGTTCAGACAAGCTTGACTCAAAAATGACTCTCACAGTCTCCTGAGCATTGATACCTGTAGATCACGTTGGCTGCCTACCTTGGTCTTGTCAATTCGCACAGCAGTGGCTGTGCTGCTGGGCCGGTTCAGGTTCTGGTTGTAGGGTGTGTCCACGTCCACGTTGAGAGGCAGAACGAAACGCCGTGGGAAGACTCTACACAAGGTGTTATACACCTGATGGGAAAATATCTTTTCAGTCTCGGCAAACCAAACTCTCGACTTAAGTTAGACAAATCCTGGAGTGTAGAACTTGTTGGATATTGACATTTACTAAACCTGCTGACCTCATCGAGATCTTCTCCAGACTTTCGCAGGTTTTGGATGTTGTAGTTGGCGATTGCCTGGCCGTCGTCTGAAGCACACATATCTAAGATCAGGAAGCCGTCCTCCTCGTATGCGTTGATCTGGTGGAATGTCGACAGCGGCTTGGCGATATACTTGAAGGAGCTTAACTGAAACGCAGGATTAAACAGAAGAATGAATTAATTTTATTGACAGTACAAGCACAGTGAACAGACTGCGTTTCAGAGAACTCGGTGTTTCCTGTCAGAGCCTCACCTCTCCTGTCTGTTTGTGAATCAGGTGGAAGATGGTGTTGAGTTTGGGGTCCCAGGAAAAGCTGTGACTGATGCTTTTCCCCGTCAGCTTACTGGTCACTATCTTCAGCAGGTCCATCTTGATGGGCTGCTCGATGAACACCACATAGTTCTCAGACATCGCTGTCATGGATTGAGAAGATTGTATTAGTTTCTGTTTAGATTTCGGGTGAAGATGGCGGAGAGGTCAGACGTACATTTTCACTAAAAGTGTCAGTATTTAAGTCTGGTTTAGAACAGAGAATAGAATGTGGTCCCCAATCAATCAATAAATCTATGTTTGCCATTTTACGTCAAGGAATTCGAGACAACTGCATTTTCTTCAGAATTTCAAGGTAACCCGGCATGACTAATTATGTAGCAACACATCCTCACTCCAACCTCGTCACATATTGTCATCTGGTCATGGACTTTCCACATCAACATATAACGTCCAAGGTACCCTGGGTGTGTTGGTTGTTGATGTTCTGGGACGCTGTGTCAACTTCAGGTGGTTGAGTTTAGGCCTCACAGTCTTACAGGAAGTGAACACTTGCCTCCTGGGTGAAAGTCTGTGGTTGTTGGACCCATCCACCAGCCTTCCTGCTCACCCTATTCAGACTTCCACCGCATTAACGCATTGTTGTGCTGCCATGTTTCCCCCTGATATCACCAGGCGCTGTTAAACAATAACAGGCGATCTGCCGCTTATCACGCCGACATGAAAGGACATATTTTTTTCGACGGTGTCTGACACTGGAAGTCAATGACCAAGCGCTGGTATTAAACAACTTCGGAGTGAGACAGTGTTTGTTTAGGATGTTCTGGTATGGCGCATCACTTTCATAAACTGTAAAAATAGACGCATAGACCGTGACATCAAACATTAGTTTGTGAACTTCTGTTTTGAAGAATTTGAGTTTTTGGAGCCAGAAATAACCGTATGTGGGCGAGAGGAGCGAAGGGATGGATCTGACTGAGAAGCTGAGGACAATACCTACAAACAACCTGCCACACAAAGTGGCCCCACCCTCCATGATGCATAACCTTAAGTCATGTCATGGAGGAGGACATTAACTATTTTAGCCTGGTTCCAGACCATAGACCCCGTCCACTCAACTGAGTAGGCTTGCATCTCTGGTCTGGCATACTGCAATGAATTTGCGATTAATCTTAACCAAACGACGGACAGACCAATGAACGTCGGGGGTGGGGGCGGGTCTAGCGATTAGCCAATCAGCGCCACGCTAATGGCAACCGCTGCAGATCCTACAGACCACATTAACGATGCTATCGAGGTATTTCGCCACTACTCGCGTTAATGGAGGACCAAATTAAGGAAGCTGCTAAACTGGATTTAAGGGCGATGCAGCTGGGTGTGCACGACAACGGAGACATTTTAAACGGGCAATGCTTGCTTGTTTTCGGCACCCCCGAGGCATGGATACTAATGACATCAGATTCTGGGTGAGTCGTTGATCTCTACTGATTGGTTAGGGAAAAATCAAATTCCCTCCCCCTTGTAAATCGCCTTAAATGGAAGCCATGTCAGACTGAAGGTTCTGGGAGCTTCAGTCTGACACTCAGGCTATAACTATTTAACTATTAAAACTGTAAACATGTTTATTTCTGCTGTAAAGCTGTGCATCGGGGGTCTGTGGGGATTGACTCGCTCTTGAAGCCAGACTCAAGTGGACATTAGTGGAACCAGTTTTTGGCACTTACGCGTTGGCTTCATTTTTTAGCCCCATCACTTGTGTCACTTACATGGATCGTGCCTTTTCAAATTAAAGTCAGTGGTTGTTGGACTCATCCACCGCCCCCCACCTGCCCTACTCGGACTTCCTCTGCATTAACTGTCATTATTTCAGGGGTAAACATGGTGCAACAACAAAGGCAACCGGCCATGTGTCATGCCAACGTGAAAGGGCAGGATTTTCATCAGTGTCTGACGCTGGAAGTCGACGACTTCGGAGTGAGACTGGGCTGTTACTTCTGAATCATAGGACACATTAGACTGACACTTGTCACACAGAGAAGAAACAGAAGGGAACCATTTCGTTATCTTAGATTTAGAAATATGCAACTATGTGCTATTTTAAATGGCATTAGGCAATGTTGCATCATCCACCAACATCTGACTGCTCATTCAAAGCAGTCTAGAACCGAGCCTGCTGCACAGCCAGCTGAGTTTTATGAGACGACTCCTGCAGTTAAATACTTCTTAAATGTCGAGGCTCATGGGTGACAGCTGTGAGTACTTTGATTTGACTGTGTGAACTCACCAAAGCTGTGGTAGTAGGATGGTTTACTCTTGTCCACTGAGGGAATAGTGCACAGCACTGTGGCTCCCTCCAGGGTCTCCCCAGCTGTTTTTTTGGTCGACGGCACTCGGATGATGTTGTAGCTCGCTCCTGTCAGCGCAGATACAAGTAGTTTGTTGCTAAAGGTAATCAGACACGTGGGAAGTGGTGTACTGCACTTATATATTGTACAGTGATACAGAATGTGGTGATGTGTGAATAAACTGATTGGATGTTTCCTAAATTACCTTTACGGGTGTATGAATTCCCCATGTTGTAAGTTGTTCCATCGGGCTCGGTGTGAGGGTGTGCGGTCGCTCCGTTCACAGCGATGAATTTGCTCCAGTCCACCTGACAGGAACAAACACATCAACTGTTTCATTAACTCCTTGTTTTATGATCATTATCCTGCAGCTAATCACACAGTGAGGAGCGACAGTAGCCTGCGAGCCTGCTATAAAGTCACAGCGTTGTGTTAGTTTATGACTTGCCCTCGCCATCATGTGTAAAGCAGCAGGTCAATAAAACTAACTGCTGTCCACAGATATGTCTCTGCACAATTATCAGCTACAACCACAGCACTCATAACTACGTTCATGTTACCTTTTCAGTCGTCTCCAGTGTCTCAGGGTCCACCTTGTGCATGTTATTGGTTTCCGTGCTGACGTAGTAATCGCCTTTGTAGGTCACAAAGCTCACGTTGGCGTTATCTGTGGCGTCTGAAGGGGAAAAAGAAGATGGCAAAAGTCAGCATGGGACAACCACAGTAATAACTCTATTCACTCATATTCTGTCTATCATCTGCCTTTAGGTGTATGGAAGAGAATTTACACTGTGTAAGGAAATTAAACAACATCTAATGCCCCTAATGCGAATTGACATTTTTTGCATCTCGCTAGTAAAGGGGCTAAAATTAACGCATTCCCCGGGGTGTTGTGTTTCCATCAATGCTGATCAGAGCCAGGGCTGATAATTACCATGACTACTGCAGAGTCATTTGACCCGAGTCTAACCTTTCCCATTCCATTAAAAACCCAGATGTTAGTGAGGTTTTTTGTGCGGTGGAAAAGGGGCTTAATTTTCTGCCTGAACACAGTCTTGTTCCTTTTAATAAGATGTGATAAAAAAAATAAAAAAAACTCACCTGGGAGTTCGAATCTTGACAGGAAGCGCTGGAAGAAGTTCTTACAGGGGTCCGGCATGGTGATGGTGCCAAACTCCGACACTGCGATGCGGTTATGCTCCTTGTTGGCTTTGTAACTGTCACTGGACAGGAAGCGGCTTTTGTACGTCACCTGTCCGTTGGATAGTTTGAACTGGTGCAGCAGAGCCATGCCATCGAACCAGTGGTTGAACCTGATGAGAGCAGAGAGGAGGAGAGGAGTCAGCTCTGTGACGCAGCAGCAGATGTATCAACAATTTAAGATCTTAAACCCACTTTTGGTTTCCGATCTCAAACTTCCCAGGCCCATTTCTGAGGAAGCTTCCATTGATCCATTCTGGGATGTTTCCAGTGATGACAGTGCTGATGGGCTCGGGGGTCTCCTCCACTGACCTCACAATCTTCTCAATGGAGGGCAAACCGTGCACATCTGTGAAGTGTGTGATGTTCTTCCTGTACTTTGACATTTTGAAGGCTGAAAAAAAGATTACCAAACACTTCAGCAAGCAAAACTTTATCATACAGCACATTTCATTCCAGGTGGAAGCACAATGTTGTGCAACAATGTGCTGCCAGGTTGAAGTAGCAGGCACAAAACAAAGTGGCAACTGACCGTTAAAGTGAATCAAATCTATTAAACCTAAGAATAAAATCTCATGTTAAACTAGTTAAGATGAAGAATAAACCAATAAAAGATACAAAGACATGTGACTCAGAACTAATTAATGTTAAAATTATATAGAATACTACAAGTAGACCATTTAAAGAGAGAGGATGATATATATGAATTAAAATAAAACTAAAGACACAATGAAATAAAATAAATAGACCAGTAACAAATGATGAGTAAAACCAACAAAAAAGAAAATGATAAAAGATAAAAGTAATAAAAGTAAAAGCACACCTGAGTTAAAACCCAAAAAGAAATAACAGTAAAATAAAATAAAAACAAAAACAATAGAATAAAACCAAAAAAGCAATACAAAATAAGTTAAAAAAAAAATCAAATCAAGTTAGAAAATAAAACAGAGTAAAATAAAATTAAAAAAAAAAGAATAAAATAAGAAAAAGTCAATTAAATTAAAGTAAAATAAAATAAGTTAAATTAGTCAAACCAGGCTACTGAAACTTGTGGCTTAAAAACAATGTCTTGAACTTAACTTTAAAGATGATACTGTTGGGCACTCCTAATGTCATCAGGTAAAATGTTCCAGTGGCTTGGAGCATATAAACTAAAGGCACCTTCTCCCATATTCATGGAGACCCGGGGAATAACCTGGCGACCCGTTCCAGGTGACCTTAGGGGTCCAGCTCGCTCATAGCTCACAAGCATGACAGAGATATCAGATGCCTGACCATGTAAAGCCTTAAAAACAAGCAATACCATTTAAAATAAACTTTAAAATTTACTAGAAGCCAGTGAAACAAAACTACCCATGTAAGTGAAAACTATATAAACAAGGTACATTGTTATCAATTAAGAAAATAACTGATGCAAACTGACACTGTGCAGAGCTGGTTCAGTCAGAGGTTTACCTGTGTTGGTCGTCATCGCTGCAGCTTTGTTTCTCGAGTATGTTACACACTGCTGTTTCTCTAAAGAGTGCACAGCTTTATACTGACAGTGCCCCCCCCCCCAATAGAAACAGTCCAATTAGTAGACAAGCACTCCATGATTTCATGCTTACATAAGCCTCTACAAAACAGTACATGGTGATCACAAGACGATCTTTGCTCCACATGGTGATTTATCATTTAATTTGTCATAGTGAACAGCTGTTTGGGAAATTCTGTAACCTTTATAATTAGGGTGCAAATCATATAGTTAAATAATGCACGGGTCACGGTGATAAAATGCACCAATTAATGCAGGATGTTTCATAACAAATATGTAAATATAGCTGTTTTGGAATAAAAAAAAGCGCGAAATCAAGTGTGACCAAAACATCAAATCTGTTTTTATCTCTGGTTCTGCAAACTTCTGTTTCTAGAACAATGAAAGGAATTTTCCTCCACTAACTGGGATTTTCCTTTCAGGCTTAAGTGGAGCACTGGCAGAATGAAAGCCTGATATCTTCTTGACACTGTACAAATCACAGATGTATATCACTCATAAAGAGGAGTACTCAACATTTTATGGTTTGTGTGGGAACACTGGGAGGTGGATCAGGTTACTGACGGCACAAAGCTGTTTATAGATTATGTGCAGTGAGTCAGGGAGTTGTGGGGAGGTCAGCTGATATGCAGGTGGGTCACTGATATTTGTTCGTTATACACACCTCCAAAACACTATTCAGCGGTGGGGTTTCTGTGAAGTACTGGAAAGTTTAGTTGATTCAAAACACACATTACACACACATTAAACACACATTAAACACACATTACACACCAGTTTTAATTTTGACAAGAATTTTTAATTTCATTTTAGTCTTAGTCACTCACCAAACACTGGATTTAGTTAAAGTCACATTTTAGTCTTTTAGTTTTGTTTTGTTTTAGTTAAAATGTAGTCAGTGGAAATCAGTTTTAGTTTTAGTTTCATTTTAGTCTGTTGACGTAATTTGACAGTTTTGTTATACTGTAAAAGATTTTGCAAAAGGGTGTTTGTCATGGTAGTAAAAACTCCATTGTAAGCATATCTTTAACTGTGTGTTTAGTCATTTAAACAAAGAATGTATCATATTACTCTTGTATAATAAATAAAAGTGCAATACATAATCATGTCCTTCACAGGTTCTTGTTTATTTTCTGTATATTTGTACAACAAATGACTCACAACCTGCAAGAATAAAGCTCCAGTCCTCTTAAGACATCAAAAGAAGATCATAACAGCTTAACTGTTATTATGCCCATTTTAATTTACTGTTTTCTTACAAGGGCATCAAAACACATTTAATCATATGCCCATTTTAATTCAGTGTTTGTTAAAGGACCACCAGGATTACAGCGCCCCTCCAAGGGCCGCAACGGAAATAAACACCGAAATAATTAGTGGAAATTTTTTGTGTTATTGACACTCCTCCTCTCTGACATACTAACACACACACACACACACATGCACACACACACACATAGATTGAACACGCGACTGAATGAATGAATGAACACTGGAAGTGGTTCAGCCGCAGTCCCGCCGGCTGGCGCGGTCACTGTAGAGATTACATTCGTTTTTTATTATTAACAAAATGTTTTTTTATTGACCGTATGAATGGTTTCGTTTTCAAATAAATATTTGGAAACAAAAATGTATGCTTTGGTGTACTTTTACAGAGTTTTACAGGCGTTGTTGTTCCCAGGTTCCCGCTGTGGAGCCAAGGGTTGTGTGGCAAAACTGGACGTGCACCGCCACCGCACGGAGGGCGGGGGGAGGTCATCCAATCAGAAAGATAGACTGAGAGTTTGAATTTGAGTTTAGATAATTAATTGGTTAAAAAGGAAAACAATCAAGGCATTGAGGATGGTTGTAATCCAGATTGTCCGGCCGGCCGGCGTCAGCTTTTTCGTCACGTTTTTACTCGTCACTTCATAATGAACAGAGATTTCCTTTTAGTTTTTGTTGTCAGTACTTGTTAAATTTACGTTCTCGTCACAAATTAGTCACGGAATAAAGGGTCGTCAACGAAAAGTTTTCGTTTAAGTTTTAGTTGACAAAATTAACACTGTTACACACACATTAAACACTCAAACACATTACACACACACACACACATTACACACACATTAAACACTCATTAAACACATTACACACACACACATTACACACACATTAAACACACATTACACACACATTAAACACACATTAAACACATTACACACACATTAAACACTCATTAAACACACGTTAAACACACATTACACACACATTAAACACTCATTAAACACACATTAAACACTCATTAAACACACAGTAAACACACATTACACACACATTACACACACATTAAACACACATTAAACACACATTAAACACACATTAAACATGGCTTCATAGAGACAGTTTCAAACACAAATCAGCTTCACTATAACTCGCAGCATTCACAGACAAACACTTGTCTTTATCTGGACACATTTTCCCCACAAATACAACATGCTAACGTTAATAGCACAAGCCTATGGCATTTTACATTGTATGAGTTAGCCTAGCAGTTAGCTACCTCTTCTCATAAATCCAGGGAGAACAGCAACATTCAACAAAGATGACGGTACATAATTTGGCTCCATTACAAGGTTCACTGACAAAACAACTGTCTTATACTAAACACATTCTCCAAACAAATACAACATGCTAAGGTTATTAGCACAAGCCTATGGCATTTTACATTTTATAAATGAGCCTACCGACGAGCAGAGATTTCCTCTGCTCATATGAAGCCAGGATAAATCACACACAAGACTTAAAATGCTATTTTTGTGGAGGCTTTATTGTCTTCACAATTTATTGTTTCTTATCTGTGAAATTAAAGTAAATCAAAGCTTTGTTTCCACTGAGGGAAATGGTTTCAGCTTACAGAGACAGACAGGAGGTCTGCGTCACTGTAACGTGGAGTTACATTTCTAGGGAGGTGCACGTCAGGCTACGGTGTAGGTTACGAGGTAGGCTCTATGTTGGCACATGCCATAGCTATGGCGTCAATTTAACGCAGGAGTATAAATTCCGCCTATGACCTCAGTTTTCCCTTTGTTCAGTTGAAGCAAATTGTGGCACATCCAGTTGCTGATTTGTTCAGTGCACTCAGTCAGCACTTGTACTGGACCGTAGTCCTCTGAAGACATGGTCATGTAAATTTGAGTGTCATCTGCACAACTATGGTAATACGTTTTGCTGTTTTTTATAATCTGAGCCAATGGAAGCATGTAGATGCTAAACAGAAGAGGTCCCAGAATGGAGCCTTGGGGAACTCCGCATGTCATTTTTGTATGCTCAGACATGTAAATACCTATAGATACAAAGTGGTCCTTCCCTATCTGGACGAATTGGACCAGTTTGGTAGTGTGCCAGAAAGTCCAACCCAGTTTTCGAGTTGGTCTGGTGATATGTTGTGGTCAACTGTGTCAGATCCAGAAATACTAAGACTGAAGCCAACCAGAGAGCGTTACCAACGCTTGCCAAATAGACATCAGAGTTTAAATTTAGCTCAAATTTAGCAGAGCTGTCAGAGAGGGGAGTGGCCACATCCATGTCCATGTAATCTATATAGATCATCAACTTCAGCAGATTCTCTTAATGTTCCTGTACTCAGCAGAACATCTTCCAGGCAGGGCGGACTTTCCTTCTTTCCTTCTTTCCTTCTTTTATTGTTCATTGTTTAGCAAACTGAAGAAGCTTTATCAGCTCTCACCTGGTGTTATCTGTATCAACACATGTGCTAAGGGTGAAACACAGGGCATGGATTTCTAGAGCAGTGAGTCCTCCACAGAGCAGGAGTAGAAGCAGTTAATAAATGTAAATGACACCAAAATCACTGACAAGGCAGC